ATCATCTACGTCTAATAGTATTTTAGAATGAAAAAGAATCTCTGACAGACATTATATATAGCCGGTGGAAGGAAAAGGGGATATCTCCCGCCGGAGATCCGGAGCCAGAGCTATTCTATACATACTGCTTTAACTTCGGAACTTCATATAGCCGGTGGAAGGAAAAGGGGATATCTCCCGCCGGAGATCCGGAGCCAGAGCTATTCTATACATACTGCTTTAACTTCGGAACTTCGTTAGCGCGATTTAGGCTTCGATGTGTTTCGCTTGTGGCGCGACGACAGCGCCGCCACAAGTAAATCCCCATCACTAAACACCTTCCTAATACTATCAATTGCCCATTGGTTGGCTAAAATGTAGTGTAATAGATACGAGAATTTAAACAACATAATCAGAACCGAAAATCAAAAATTTGTTATTTTTCACGAACACAGAAGACTTGCTACGGGTGGGAATCGAATTCATGATGAGGTATTCCGACTTTAAATTTTACAGTAAATACGCGATCAATCTAAGTTCATTCCTCGCCTGCATCAGTAAACTTGTTAGCTATAATGCCGATTAAATACCGATTATGTGATTGGTGTCAAAGGATAATATCGTCGTCGTGAGGACACTTTTGTCTGAGAAAAAAAAAATAATATATTTGAATTCGATCGATTACCTATATGTGAGTTGTGTATCGCTAGCAACGCAAAGTCGGGAATTTGCATTTGGAAAAATCCCAAATTAGGGGCTTTTTAGGTGCTAATTAGGTGCCAAGTTTAAAAATTAGGTGCTCCAAAATTTTCACCGCAACGAACTGTTGAAATTTGCGTTGGTAGCAAAACGTCTCGCTAGCAACGCAATGAAGTTATTAAATATACGATAAATATTAATAGCAAGGAATTAGGTGCTAATTAGGTGCTGCAAGTATACGCAGTAACAAGGCGCCTATAATAAAAATAAAGTCGTTATTCAGAACATAGCAGATGCAAAATTCAGATTTCCTGAAAATCAAAATAGAATCAAAATTGCTTTCAGAAAAAGTCCAAATTAGGGGCTTTTTAGGTGCTAATTAAGTACCAAGTTTAAAAATTAGTTGCTCCAATATTTTCACCGCAACGAACCATTGAAATTTGCGTTGCTGGCAAAACGTATCGCTAACAACGCTGATGACGTTACTAGATATACGATAAATATTAATAGCAAGGAATTATGTGCTAATTAAGTGCTGCAGATCGATTATCGAAACCCGATACAGATTACGATATTATTCTGGGAATTATAGGGTCCACGACCACCATTACCTTACTATAATGTATGAATAGTATTTTTTGTTCTTTATCAGTTCCTAAAAATTAAGTGCTAATTAGGTGCTGAAAGATTATTGAGGTCGCATGTAGATGACGGTAATATTCTGAAATTATCGGATTTAAAACCACCATTACCACTATAAGGTATGAACGGCATTTTTTGTTTTTCAGATTTAATATGATTATATTTGAAAATGGTTGAAAATTGGTTGAAAATTATATTAAATTATATTATAGATTTATAATATTATTTAATATAATTTTCAACCAAATAAATGTTACAATTCTTATTTTTAGACATGTGAAGCCTAAGCTTTAGTGTACTCGAAAGGATATTTTCTTTCCAGTAAATTGCTTTGTAATAAATAGCGCCATCTACAACGTTCTATAGTTCTAGACATTTTATCAAATCAAAATCGATGGACTCTCAAGGTGGTAAGTAGGATATAGACGCTAGATGGCACAAACACAAAGACCTAATTTTTTACGTGGTAGAGCCATGCTGCAGCTATATTATGATTGTAGCACGAATGGGTCGGCTCGACCGGGGAAGGACCACGCTCTCACAGAATACCAGCGTAAAATAGCAACTTAACGCTGCTGTGTTTCGTATGGTGAGTGTAAAGAACCGGAGACCCTTTTTACTGGAAACGAGGCATTCCATCTTAGTCCTTACGGGTGACAACGCATCTGCATTTTGATTCTTAATCGAAGATAGATGTAGATGTCTATGGGCCACAGCAACCACTTACCATCAGGTGGACTGTGTGCTCGTTTGTCACCCTTATCCTATAAAAAAAAATTGCCTTGCTGAATCATTTTCGGAATAATGACTTTATTTTTATTAGGGGCGCCTTGTTATTGCGTATACTTGCAGCACCTAATTAGCACTTAATTCCTTGCTATTAATATTTATCGTATATCTAATAACTTCATTGCGTTGCTAGCGAGATGTTTTGCTAGCAACACAAATTTCAACAGGTCGTTGCGGTGAAAATTTTAGAGCACCTAATTTTTAAACTTGGTACTTAATTAGCACCTAAAAAGCCCCTTATTTGGACTTTATCTGAAAGCAATTTTGATTCTATTTTGATTTTCAGGAAATCTGAATTTTGCATCTGCTATGTTCTGAATAACGACTTTATTTTTATTATAGGCGCCTTGTTACTGCGTATACTTGCAGTACCTAATTAGCACCTAATTCCTTGCTATTAATATTTATCGTATATTTAATAACTTCATTGCGTTGCTAGCGAGACGTTTTGCTACCAACGCAAATTTCAACAGTTCGTTGCGGTGAAAATTTTAGAGCACCTAATTTTTAAACTTGGCACCTAATTAGCACCTAAAAAGCCCCTAATTTGGGATTTTCCCAAATGCAAATTCCCGACTTTGCGTTGCTAGCGATACACAACTCTACATGTGATATCGTGCAGTAGGGCAGCGTGGCGGACTTTTTCCTGCCCAAATACCTCTCAGAAATAACCAGAGGCCTATACCCAACACACATTACTTTTCTTTTATATCATCATCATCATCATTACAGCCCTTCACAAGTGCACTGCTGAGCATAGGTCTCTCCCAAGGAATGCCACAATGCACGGTCCTGAGCCACCTGCATCCATCGACTTCCTGCATGTCTTACCAGGCCGTCACTCCGTCTAGTGTATCACTCATACTTTTATAAATATTATGTATGTTATACAGTCTAAGATTTTAGTATTAATTCTTAGTTAATGGATACAGTATCTATGACACATAACAGAGACAAAGTTTAAGGTATTTATTTGTATTTAAATTAGCATCAGTTGTTCCGTCTAAGGTTTGCGAGCGGGTGAACAAATATGGTTGATTACAATCTCTTTAAAATTGTAGTAAAAGACGAATGGCCCTTACTTTGTTTGCCTTTCGCAGTCGTACTAAGTGACTCACCGGCCGACACAATATTAGAATTATTAACACAAAAATTTTATTACTTGTACCACATTTTAGCTGCACAGTAATAAAATGTATATCAGCGCCTGTGATTTTAAAATATTCTTTTAATTACTAAAAATTAGCTTTAAAATAACGATATCATATTATTGTTTTAAGTGATTTATGCTTAATAAAACCGCTGTTGCGTGGCTGTGACGTATTGCTGCATCACGAACGGTCGACTCAACTGGGAAAAATCACGCGCTCTCAGAATACCACCGTAAAATTAATATCCACATAACGTAGAACTCTTTACTGGTAAAGAGGCATGTCGTCTTAGTTCTTAGGGATCAAGGGCTCAGAAGAACATATAGTTAGTCTGTGCAGGGGTGACAATAAGGCATCTGCATTTTCATTTTTAATCTAGAATAGATGTAGACGTCTACTGTTCACAACATCCGCTTTCCATCAGGTGAACTGTGTGCTTTTGTCACCCTTAAACTCTCTGTCAGCCGTTTAATCACTCCATCTTACGTGGTAACACGAGGTAAATCAGAAATTAAAACGTCCAGCTTTTGAGCTAGTATTAGCATGACTTATAAACTCTGTAAATCTGTTATTTGCCATATGGTGACAGCGCGGTCTAAAGAGAATCATTGATAATTTAAATTAGTTGATAAATTATTATTTGACGTTAATCTCATCACATCTTAAGGGGCGATTGTGGTAAAAGTCAGAAATTGCTTATAGCCTCATATAGATGGTGGTATAAGTTATATGTTTAAAGTTACAGCCTATATACGTCCCACTGCTGGGCACAGGCCTCCTGCCATTTCTGAGAGAGTTTTAGGGCAAGGAAGTGTCCGCCGCGCTGCCCCAATGCGTGCTGGCGAACTTCACATGTCTTGGAAATATTTTTTTTCTTATTTCTCAGACATGCATGTTTCCTCACAATGTGTTCCTTCACGGTGATCGTCAATCCGTCTGCGAAACTTGACAATTATGACTAATTATCCTTCAAACGGCAGAGATCCACGGCCATCGGTGGCATTTTATGGATTGGTGGAGAAGAGTTCATGTATGATTATGAATCAATTGGGTTCCAAACGTTTTTCAAAATTTTAAGTGCCAATTACATTGTGGAGTTAACATAACCAAAAATAATAAAAATCTCCGTAAAAACCCGTCTTATTTTTGGTATACCTAAAGATTCACCATAAAGATGTATATATAACTACGTGATAAGAATAAAACGAGATGTGCAATTAGTTTAAAATTAGATGCCCACACCACAGCAATGAAATGAACAGGCGACAGGATAAACCTCCTCCAAATGAGGCAATTTGTTACGCGCCACCATTTGTAACGACCTTTTATGGACCGGTATAAATTTTAATTATTTATGTAAACACATTTGTTGACTGATTTATTATTATTATTTTAAAAACTTTTTCACCGTACAATTTACACCAGTAAAATTAAAAAAAAATTTCGTCGTTCGAGAGAATGGAGACGGGAATCCTAAAGTTAAATATTCAAATGTATGCTAAGGGGCTATTCTTCCTTATTTTTATCCGTCTTTAGATTGTAGAACAAATGGCTTGTGCACCGTTGTGATGTGAACTGACGTGGAATAAATGTTCTGACGTCCTCGTCTGATCTTTATAAAAACAAAGTCGCTTGTGTAGATTCATCACATCATCATCTTGCAACATCCGACAAGGTTCGTTGCTAACAATTAGATTAAAAAAATCTATTAGCCAAATTTAATTAAAAATCTTTTTTCAGATGCCAAACCGTAATTATTATGGAATCGTAGCAGTGTTAATATGTTTTTGGTGGATAATGATCTGCGCGAATGCATCGAATTACCGTTGTAAAGTTAAGCATTACAATCATAAGGCTATGCAAACAGATCTTAATGGAAGACGATGTTGGGATGAGATTAAAATCGGTTCGTGTTGGGGATACTGCTTGTCTTATGAGGTGATAAAAATGTCAATTTATATTTATTCTAAGACATCTTTTAAACATACTTTATTTAATCCTAAATACGTCGTCAAGTGAGCCGTGGTAGCTCAGATGGTTAGCACTCGTTGTTAATTAGACAGTACGCGAGCAACCCAGGTTCGATCCCCGTCGGCACCTATGAAATTGTTAATTGCAAGTTTAAGTGCTGATTTACCACGTGCTCGACGGTGAAAGAAAACATCGTGAGAAAACCTGCGTGTATGAGAAATAAGAAAAAAAATATTTCGAAGACATGTGAAGTTCGCTAACAGGCTTTGGAGCAGCGCGGCGGACACTTCCTTGCCCTAAAACCCCTCTCAGAAATGAGAAGAGGCCTGTGCCCAGCAGTAGAACGTATATAGACTGTAACTTTTAACTTTAACGTCGTCAGTGTCTAATAGCGTTACCGTTCGGGGCCCAGTAGTTAACTATGGATACTGGTATATAATTAAATATTCCAGAGGAGGTATTGGAAAAGAGAATAACCGGCCAAGTGCGAGTCGGACTCGCGCATGAAGGTATTTGTAATATTCGTATAATTCATTGGAAGGTGCCATCGTAAAACAGGTTTCTAGTAGGGGAGCCCCCTTTAATTTTTAATTTATTTGTTTTTATTATGTGTTGTTATAGCGGCAGCAGAAATACACATTCTGTGAAAATTTCAACTGTCTACCTATACGGATCATGAGATATAGCCCGCTGACAGACAGACGGACGGACGAGAAGGACGGACAGCAGCGGCTTAGTAATAGGGTCCCGTTGGTTACCTTTCGGGTAGGGAACCGTAAATATTTAAAAAAAATTGGCATATTCCGTAATCATACCCCTTTTCTTGGTATACTTATAATATTGTTGTCAAATTGTCGCTACAATATCTTCATTGTTATTTTACTTCGTAGGTTCGTCAGTGGATTACGAGGCATTTACAGTTGCCCATTTTTTACATCGTTGAATGAACTTCGAATACTAATAACACCTAAAACTTTTGACAACCCATCTATTACAGATCTCACACTGGCAGTTTCCATACAAAGAGTCCCACCACCCAGTGTGCGTGCATGGGGAACGTCGCCCAGCTTCCGTCAAACTGAGGTATTGTGATCCTGGCGTACAGCCTGGAACTGACATCTATCATTTCGTGGAAGCCGTTAACTGCAAATGTCAGGTAACACAGTGACCGCTTTTTAATAATTTCTTTAAGAATAATTATATCTAATGATATCACATAACAAAGATTCACAACATAATAGTTATAGTAAAAATTAAATACAAATACTTCTACATTTATATATTATATTGTTCGAAAAATTGCAAGAACCATTTTAATAAAAATTTAGTTACCTACTACGTTTTCCGGCAAAAGGAGAAATTAAGTAAAACTTACCGAAAGGTAATAAATAGAGCAAGTAAGTAAAGTAGCAGTAGAGTGATACTAGTAGAACAAGATTTGATAAAACTTTTAGCCAAGTTATAAACCAAGTCTAAAAATAAATTCTCGAGAATTCGGAATTCGAGTGCTAAGTGGTGGCTGTAAATTTTACCGTACTCGAATAACCCATTTTCAATTTTTAATTACAATTCTTTGTTTCCCAAGCAGCTATATTGTGGTTGTAGAACGTATGGGTCGACTCGACCGAGTAAAATAGCAGCTTTATGGTACTGTGTTTCGTATAGTGAGTGTAGAGAACCGGAGACCCTTTTCACTAGAAACGAGGCATTAAATCTCAGTCATCATGGATAACAACGCATCTGCATTTGGATTCATAATTGAGGATAAGTATAGACGTCTATGGGCCACAGCATCCACTTACCATCAGGTGGACTGTGTGCACGTTTGTCACATTTATTCTATAAAAAAAAACATGCGTGAGTGTCGTGGAACACTCGGTTAGAACGAAGTTCCTTGCGTAGTTTATTATTATTGATAAACGTAGGTATTATATTATTGATTAACAAATACAAATAAATGAATTACTAGCGTCTATTAAAATGAAGCGTCATTTGAAATAAAATAATATTTCTTTCATGGCAAGATAGGAAAAAGTGCGAGGGAGATGGATGTTATTCCATCTCACTTCCTTATTTCACCGCCAAGGCCGTCTACACTATGACACAGGGGGTAGTGACGAAAAAATCTTACACTTTTTGTCGCCTAGCTCTCATCTGCCAAACCCGTACCGTCCGATAAGGAACTTCGTTCAAAAAATTATTTCAGATAAATGAGACGAGTCCTCTGGCCAGACGTAAGACGTACATAATATATTATGTAGGCTCTAACCTTTGTATGCAGTGACGTGTCAGAGGTGTGACTGCTTAGTTGGTCTAGTGGTCGTAAATGCGACTGCTGATCATGAGGTCCCGGGATCGAATCCTGGGTCGTGTTAAAACAACAGTAATTAAGCTTTTCTGTCAAGAAATTGTCAGTAGCTGCCAGGAGTTAGAAAATTTTCCCTGTGCCCCGGAAACAAGGTCACCCTGAGCACTGGAAAGAACATAAGCCCTTGGCCCTGCGCCTGATCTCTTTCTAGTCGTGTCTGTTTACCGGTCAATCGGACTATTGAGAGTGGGGAAATAGCCCTGTGCATACACTTGGGCACTATATTCCTGTCATGCACAGGCCGCAGACGGCTAGTCTCCGTTGAGACTGGCTGCTATAACCGAAATTCAGTCCGAAGTATATATTACATGTCACTGTTACTTATCTATCTTAATTTAATTTCTTGTATTTCAAAGAAATTTTTGTTTCTGATAATTAACATGAATTATTAAAGGTATGTTCATCGGAAGATACAAGTTGCGAATGGCTGCCTCCAGATTCTTCCTTACTCGGCGGACTTATTCTTAAAGAAGAATTGACGGAAGAACTGGAATAAGATAATTAAGAAACGCAAAAGTACCTACGAAATATATCTGCCTACATTATAATTATTTATATTTTGTAATATTTTTGTGAGTTACACTTTTTAAATAGACTATTCTCCAAAAAAATGTTTTTCTTTTTTTTTTCTTTATAAGTATGTTTCATTAACTGTTTTATATTATTTTAGAATGATGCAACTTTATATACTAAAAATAACTTTTAACAAAAACTATAAGCCGGCTTCGAAGAATTAAGAAGAATGAAATAAATTCGCATTCTGAAATCAGTGCTAAGCCTAATGTATAGAAGAATTAAAACGCCGTCTATCTATATCTTTTACGTGGTAGAGCCATGCTGTAGCTACATTAGTAGTATAGTTGTAGCACGAATGGGTCGGCCCGACCGGGGTAAGACCACGCTCTCACAGAATACCAGCGTAAAATAACAGCTCAATGCTGCTGTGTTTCGTATGGTGAGTGTAGAGAACCGGAGACCCTTTTTTACTGGAAACGAGACATTCCATCTAGTCCTCAGGGATGGCGGCGCATCTGGATTTTGGTTATTGAAGATAAATGTAGATGTCTATGGGCCACAGCACCCACTTACCATCAGGTGGACTGTGTGCTCGTTTGTCACCCTTATTCTATAATAAAAAAATATATACAAACGAGAGCATATAAATTTGAAAATTTATTTCCACCAGAAAGTAGGGGATGAAAGATAATTTAATATGTTTTTTTTTTTAAACTTTATAGCTCTTACCTTGAGCTTGTGATATTTCTGAACAAGGCCAAAACAACAGGGTCTTTTTAGTATGTGTGGTCACTAGTGGTATACAACTCTTAATAAAAAGTAAACGCCAGTTTTAACTAAAAATAATGAAATAATTTTCAAATAGCCACAACAGTTTCTGAGCTTGGGGCTTTAATTCTTCTATGCACAATATTTTTAGTTCTATAAAGTCGGCTTTTCTTTTAATTTTTTGACTCTTAAGTGGACTAAAGAATATCACAATATATTTACAAAATAATTATACTTGTGAAATATAATGTAATAAATGTAAGATACATATATTTCACATTTAGACTATATTTTCGTAGAAATATTAATATTGTACACTTTTATAATAAAGATACCAATGGATAGATTCGCGTAAAGCATAATGATCTATGTATCTTCTTCTTCTATACCTACATCATCATCCATCCTCATTATTACAGCCCTTCACAAGTCCACTGCTGAACATAGGTCTACCCCAAGGGATGCCACAAAGCGCGGTCACTAGGATTTTCTCCTGTGTCGTGGAGGCAGTTTACAAACATAAATTGCACAAGGACAAACATCCAGACCCGGAACAATTATTTGTAGGCCATACAAATACTTGTTCCGTGCGGGATTCGAACCCGCGGCCCCCAGCGCAACAACTGATTGCTAAGCCACTGCGCCACGGAGCCGTCCTGATCCTATATGAGTCATATAGGATCAAAGGTGGCAATCCGACTTTTAGGCCAGCCACACACATACGGAATCCCGTTTTGCCCGCAAAATTTCGAACGGAAAACTACCGTACGTGTGTGACGGGCAGTGACGGGTGATATATTTTATATGAACTTGCTGCGTTCGGAATCTCGAAACGGAATATTAAAACGGAATCCCGAAACGGAATTCCGTATGTATGTGACGGGCCTTAGTCAATTTGTGGTAAAATGAAAAAAATAAAAACACTTTTTGCTGCTGTGAGGGGTATTTAATTGATTTTTGTACTGTAAATATAATTCGAGACGTAGCCAATGTTTTTATATAACAAAAGGTAGAAACGTAATGTAGTTTTTATACCAACAAATTAAAATGACCGGATTTGATCCCAAGTTAAATACACATTTCCGGCTTTGATACCAACCGGAGTAAAGATTGCCACCTTTTTTTTCAATTCATGTAACATTAGAATAGGGTTGTCTATTAAACAAAATCATAACATTTCTTACTGTTTTTACAAAGTTTATTAAGATCAATCAAGATTACGTATCTGTGTGTAAGTATATTAAATTTCTTTATCGGATGCAAATACATTTACAAAAGACATTGACTTTATATTACGAGTACTTTAGGTACCTATTAAAGTTTAGATAATATTTTGTCATCTAAACGCAAAGGTCATCTACTTCATCCAAAGGCTCCTGATAATAATCATCTACTTCGAGATTCAAAGTGCACTGAAGTGCCTCTTGGGAAGCAAACAAATCTTTATATATTTTTAAAACTGGTAAATTTTCCCAAATAACTCCAAAACGATTAGTGAGAATTTTTTGACATCTTTCAATTTATTTTTATTTACGGCTACAATTTCGCTACAAGCGAAACGAAGAGATTCGCAATATGGCAGGTTTGAAAGATGACCTTATCACCAAAATTGATAAGGGCGTGCTCCGGTGGTTTGGGCACGTTGAGCGAATGAGTGAAGACCGAATAGTGAAGAAAATATATAGCGCGAAAGTTAATATTAAAAGGTGTCGAGGTAGACCGAGACTAACTTTCGAAGACCATATGAACAAATTGCTCGAAGAGGGTAGGGTCAAGAGTACTCGGACTCCAGTCGCTAACAACACAATCAACACCAAATCTCACTATGGTTGACGTTTGGGATATTACAATGATAAACATAGGTGTTTACGCCCGAACGGTGGTTTCGGAATCGACGTCAGAGGGCGCGCGGCTCGGTGCCATACCGGTTTTGACGTCGGTCGAGCAGTGGGTGTTGAGAACGCGTAAAGGTGCAGTCGAGTCGTCTGCCAGCTGTGCTAACGCCAGCACACTGTCAATTTTGTTCGGGTTCTCGGAATAATTAGGCGCGGCTAGTAAATATACTGCTTAGGATTTGCAACGCGCATTCCGTGCTGGAGAGCTTTCCCGGGACTCATCGTGTCTGACTCAGAATCTGTATAAGTGCATTCGACAATATTAGCTAGTGCGGCCTTTGATATTCTAGAAATAACTGTTGCTACGCGAAGCGGTAGTGACCTTTGATCCGAACACTCCCTGTTCGTTTGTGTGTTAAGCTTTATAACAAACGAGAGTTAGTGGCTTCTGTAAGTTAGTTAATAGTACTCGTACGATAGAGTTAATGGACTGTCATCGCGACGAACGAAGAAAGTGACTGTGGACGGCGCCGCGGAAGATTACCTCAATTTGGAGCGGTGCTGACGCCCGGGCTGCTGCCGACGGCAAAGATCTACTAAGGTCAATCACCATCAGTCACACCCAGATACACATCACAGCACCTTATTTCTCTTGAACCACACAACCACATGCGACCTGACCGAATCCTGAGGGAGCAGTCGCCTTGGATATAGGTAAGTAAGCTCCGTCTAATATTCTCCCTGTTGAATGGCCGTAGTATAGAATGCTCCCCCTTATTGTTTACTGTAACCAGAGATTTTCCACTTTGGCCTTAGGAGGCCCGATCAACGTCTGCTCGTCGAAATTCAGCTGAATGGGCCCCTGAGCTTTGCTGACCTTTACGGGAGCAGCCGAAGGCCGTAACAAACTGAGGTAGGGCGGCTGCGTGGCAGTCTGTCGCTCGACGCGTGTTCGAGGGGTCGGTGCCCTGCCGGCCACGAGGGCCGTCAGGCCTCTTACGTAAATTCGCGGCCCGTCGTGGATCTAGATAGCTAGATGAAGACATCGTTATAATTGAATCGTCGCGTTAGTGCCTTTTGTGTTTGGGTTGCCTAGTTAGATTAATTTACGTGTCAACAAGGCGTATTTTGACTCTGTCGCGACGTGTTATTCTGGTGCCGAATTTATAATTTGTGCTAAGTGAATCCGGGACATTCAATGTCGAATTTTGTGCTACTGTCCTTGCCGTGTCGGATATCATGTGTACGATTCTGCGATGAGTGTGGAATTAGGCGAATTGAAGTTAGTTAAATGTACAATGAAGCTAAGAGACTGAATAGTGACAGTGAAGAAAGAAGTGGTCCGGCGCTGAAGCAGTCTAGAGTGATGCAGTATTTTGGAGCTGCCTGGAACTCGGCCGCTGCTGGTCGCCTATGCTTGCCATGGCCCCACACATTCACACATCACTGTACACTACTCGCCATCCACTATTACACACACTCACGGCCTGCCCAAGCCTTGGTGCGAAGTTAGCTTCGGATAATGGTAAGTACTATGTGTTTCTAGCTTTCTCCCATATAGTTTATTGTGATAGAATATATTCCACGTGGCCATATTGAGGCCCGACCTGCCCGTCGAAGAAGCTGCTATGAGCCCCAGCCAGGATTTGACGTTTGTGGGAGCAGCCGTAGGCCGTAACAATAGGATTTATTGTATTCATATTTAACTGTAGATAGGACATTTTATTACAAGCAGTTAGTCCTATGTAGAAAGACAACTCAATATTCGTTCTTACAACTAATTAGATATGATTAATTGACACTTAGACTAAAAACTTATTTTATTTGTAATAAAATCTAAAAAAATAAACAATTTTAGAACATTTATTTATTAAGAAAATATTTAAAAAAGAAATAATCAACACGCCATTACTAATGAAAATATTCTATTCTTTGTATGGCAAATTGTCGTAAAATTGGTGGCAGCCCCGAGGTATCACTGATTTCAATTCCTGTAGATGTAACCATTTGGATATGGTAATCTTGTATCTTTAAGTGTAGAGGGGTGGATACTCTTGAACAGGATATAAACGTGTAGGTTTATTGGGAAGTAATAGGTAAGCACCATCAAAATCTAATTTAACTTTAATTACACCATCAGGACTGTAGGCTATCACCTTAATATCCATAACAGTAGGATCATTTTTGTTTCTTACTGCTCTGATAGATTTGTGTCGCAATGGATGTATGTAGTCTTTAAAAAAATGGTATTCCAACTCGATTGCCTCGTATGGACATGGATTCTTTCGCGCTTCTTTGGTAACATTAACATAATCGCTGGGGAGTTTGGTTTCGTGACCCTATAGCATTCTTTCTATGCAGCCATGTACGGAATCTA